TCATTTCAGTTTACTATATTTATATGATTATATTTACATTAGAAATATATGAAAGTTTATTCTCAAAATACGCTTGAATTGTTGAAAATTAAATTTTTGGTGGAAAATTTCGTTCTTTCTTTATTTTAAATAAATTAAAGGTCTGGCAAATATTGAGGTTAGGAATTATTAGCTGAGTTTAGAAACTTCTTAAAAGAATCACAGGTAAAATGCATTTTGAAATGGATTCTGGATAAAAGAATAATAATAATTTGGAGCTATCAATTTAAAAATAAAGTATATCATTGTAATTGCCAATAATGATGATTTCGAATAGTGAAACGTTATGGGATACAGAATTACTTCATTCTGCATGGTTATTGATTTACCTTCAACTACAACAGATCACTAGACTTTTCCTTTTCTTAGGAATTACTTAAGCTAAAAGGCTTAGTTACTTAGTCTGTGTATAAATATTTGTCTATCCACATCTGTTACTAGCAATTTCAAAGTAGCAAATCGTTGTATGCATGTCAATACATTTACTTTGAAGCCACGTTAAACTGTAAAAATTTCTGTTTTATCCTCTCTTGATTTTCTTAAAAGAACCGCAAAATAAATTTTTACGCAATCCTAAATCCAAACTCAGCTGAAACAGAGGATTTTCTTAAAATAAACTTCATAGGATTGTTTAATCAAGTGAAGGTTTGCTAATTGCTCCGTTCAATCACTGCCTATCGATTTTCTTCAACTTGGAGCTCATTAGTTAACAAACAAATAAAAGTTAAAGGTTCTTCGATTCTTTTTCTGTTCTTTTTTTTTCTTCTCTAAATGAATTGTCCTTCTAAGAAAAAAGGCTTTCCGGGTATCCAGAGACTTATTCCGGATAATGAGGTTCGTTTATTTTGTTTCCAAGTTTGCATTTCAAACGAATTGGATCCAATTCAGTGAAAAATTGATTCCCGACGAAGGAAATGCCGCGCGGATTTTAAGTTTACAAGTTGTTTTAACTTAATTGAAGTTGTGCAATGTGGCTGAACCAAAATTGAAGTTTGTTAGATGGATTAGGTTGCCACTCGTGCAATGAAATCGGATATTGATATATTGTTGGTTTAGGTTCTTGAGCACACCTGAATGATAGTCTGGTAATGAATTATACAGTTAATTTATGATCGTGATTAAATGAAGTTTAATCGTTTGTATTCTCTCAATTATTTTTCAATATTCTACTTTTTCGCTTACAAATTCCGCTTGAAAAGTAAATAACGATAAAATATAATTAATTCTAGTTTTTATTTTTTATTTTTAAATTTTTTGAAAATAATTTTCGTATTTTTAAGCTGTATTCATTTCTTTCAACATATTGATGCTACTTTTTCATTACAATACATTAAAAATATATCATTGCAATACATGAAAAATAAAATGTACTGCAATGATATATTGTTCTTTCAACATTTAAATTTATCGTTAACTTATGACCTTGATTCTTAGTTTATATTCACAAAGTAGTTTTCAAATGTTCTACTTTTAATTTATTTAAAAACTTAAATCGAAAAGTGCAATATAAAAACAATTTATACTGGCTGTGGTTTAATAAATATCGAATTTTAAGACTCTATTTATTTATTTCCGATATTGAACGCAAGTTGCTTACTGAATTTCATTGTTAACTTATGATTTAGCAAATTAAAATCTTTGTTTTCAAAAATACTAAATTATTAGGCTATATTTATTTATTTTCTTAAATCAGCGATTTTCATGTTACTTCCCCATTAAAATGTATATAAAAAAATTATTTTGAAGAAATACACTTCTTTATAAAAGTGTTTCATGTTAATTATTAATTTTTTAAACAGGTTGGAGGAGAATTTAAATCGTGCTTTGCTATAAGTTATCTATTTCTTTTTCTCAGTGAAATTTAATTGTTATAGGAGTAAAGTATAATCAAATAATGTTTATTTCTTAACATTTATTTATTTTTAAGTTTGCAAATAAAGGTTTATTTTCTTAAAAAATGATTTTGACGTGTATTGTTGGTTAGGCAATCAGACTTATTTAAGATCATTTTCTTAACGGTCAATGAGTTGTTATTTGTTGCTTGTATTTGAAAGTATAAGTAATAGGCGTGTTTTAAAATTGATTTACTGTATTTAGAAATCTAACTTTTCAACAAATAAGCAAGCTAAAACAAATCATCACCATGGGTGATTTAATTTTAGTTTTATTTTCCTCTGCCTGTGTATGAAAAAGGATACATCATTAAAAAGAAACTTTCATCACAACTGCCAAGAGCAAAAAGTTAAGATTTAAAGCACACCTTGGCTTAGGAAACGGTCAGAAGTTTCCACCAGAAAACTCTCACAAAAACATGACCGTAGACGCACAAATTGCTTTTACAAAACCGGTTCGGATTTTTTTTCTTTCTTCCTTCTCCGTGCAAGATAGCGAAAGAATGGCCCGAAGCGCTCAGAAAACAAGTTATCTCCATTACAGTCACTTTACTGTCAAAGCCATGTGTCTTCTGTTTCTATCTTTTGACAGATGATGATAGGTGTGCATGGAACACATGCTGCCATCTGTCGACTTCTTGTAAAACTGATGTTTAAAACATTTAAATAGTTATTACTTTTGTCATGCCAAATACTGTCGCCGTCTTATTAATTTTATCGTGAAATTTTTTTTCCCGATTTGGATGTATGAATATTACTTATTTATTGCATCAAAATACTTTTATTATTATTAACTCCATAACTATTTTAAATCCATCTATGCATTTTCAGCTGTTATAAGGTAAAGTAAATATTTTATATGAATATATAACTATTGGTGTGCGATATAAGTGACGATTTTTTTTTTTAAGTTAATAACTCAGGTTTTGTTATAGCTCTCGTCTTTAATTTTTTGTTATGAAAGAAAATTTGAAATTATCTGTAATGGAGCCGGGATAGCCTGGTTGGTAGGGCACCGGACCCATGTCCAAGAGTTCGTGTGTTCGACACCCACCGGACGAAGACTCCCCGTGTAGTAAATGGTGTCTGATGCACGTTAAATCTGTTGAGTCGCAAAGTCCTCCATGTTCCCATAACAAATCAATTCCTCTGGGGGGTACTGTTCCAAGAGTTTCCCTGTCTTCTGGATTTCTTCAAAATTACAAGGCTACGGAGTTGAACATTAGTAGTAGTAAACCCAAAAAATTGGGTCGATCGAACAGAGTTCGAATCCCAACGATGGCTGGTTGATACGATTTCCGCAGCCGGTTCGAACCGACCACAGTGTTCACGTAAAATATCCTCAATGGTAAACGGTTCATTGGTTAGAGCCCCCCTGTCGTCGGACTAACCATGAGAGGTTTTCCTCTCCATGAAACGCAAAAATGCCTCTACGACGGCAAATTTCTCTCAATACTTGATTCAGAAGTTCCCTTGTCATCTGATTGGGTTCAAAATTATAAGGCTATGGAATTGAACATAACCCAAAATTGGGTTGGGTGTTCAGCGTCGGTTATAATATAAAATTATCAGTAGTTAACTTATTATAATTTATTCTCTTTGATCTTTCAAATATTTTGTCTGAAGAATTACCAACACCTAGCAAATATGTCTATTTTTTTTCTTCTCGTCTATCTCTTTATTCGTTTTATTTATTTTTTGTTAATAAGACAACAAATTTGTATAATTCTTATTTTAATCAAAAGAAGCATAAATGAGCAAATCAACATATATTAGGACAAATTGCATGTTCAAGTACTTGTTTATTTCAATTTTTTATAGTGTTATCATTATTAGTCTTAAAATTGGTTTTAATACCAGACAGTTGAATTTACAGGTCTGGAGCGGCGTCTAGTCGAGTTCTTAATTAGGTTTTAATGCATGCATAAACTGAAAATGACTGCGATGAAATATGGTTTAAATTAAAATAAAAACGAAAAAAAGGGGAAGAAAATGGGTTTTAGAGAAACATACTTCTGCATGATTGAATTTGATTATTTTTATTCGATTCGAAATACTAAAGAAATTTTTCATGAATAAATATCCTTTTCATGTTTTTACTAGAAAAAACTTAAAACGGATTAGAAATTTTAAATTTCGTTCTTCACAAGCATTTAATTTAATTAATTTCATAAAAAATAGCGGAAATAATAAGTAAATAATGGATAAAAATTTAATTAGTTTTTCGAATATCATTACTGGCACTTTCTCGGAACCCCTGCCCTAACCCTAGGGTTCCGCGGAACACCATTTGGGAACTATTGCTCTAATTAACATAAACATTACATCCGCGTTGTTTATGCTTGTCGCAAATTTTAATTCCTTTCATTTGATTCTATCAAACAAACCATTTTCAAGATTATTTCGGAAATTCAGACGGTGGAAGGAAAAAGAAGGAAAAAAAAAACTTAAAATTCCGGAGGAAGAATGTATAGCGGTGTGTAAATAAAGCAATCTGATCCTTCTCTTTACAAGAAAAGAACAATAAATCGTTTGTAAAAGCTTGTGCCTTGGGGGGTCGGCAAATCTTGATTTGATGTTACTTACGATTGGTTGACCTTGAACGAAGGGGACGGTCTCGTTTCGCTTCGCATGCGAATTGAATTCGATTTGACACTTGACTGACTTGAGAGGAAATTGAATATTCATGAAAAAAGTACACTCAATAAAGAAATGCTTCGGACATTTTATTTATTTTTATTTTACCCAGTTGTCTTTTAAACCAAAAGGGATGTTCTGGAACTTTTAATTCTTCAAATTAGGAAGGCTTTTGGCAACCTTTGAATATTTATGAGGCTTTTTTTATTTTATTTTGCATATTATTATTTTATTTGCTTTAGTTACTTTATTTCGAATTTATAATTATTACTTTATTTTGTTACCTTATTATTCATTGCTCTGGTTTTTTATTATTTTGTTACATTATTGTTTAATTTCTAATTCGTTTTATTATGATTTTATGATTTATTTCACTTTTGTTAATTTCATTTTTAATTTAGAATTTTTTTTCTCTTTACCTTTTATTTGCAGCTCCTTTTTCTGCAGCACTGAAGCCTCCTTCCTTAGGTAATCAATCACTTTTATTTGCTTTCATAATCACAATCATTAGGAAGCAATTACATTTTAAAATGGCATCTTATCAGAAATAGTACTTGTGGTACGGCGGTATCGTGACCAGCAAAAATGTGCTTATATGTACCTTTGCAATGCAATATAACAAATTTCATTTCATTATTTAGTACTCGTTCATTGCAGTTTAGTAAATTAATCAGGGCTGGATTACCCACTAGGCCATGGCCTGGGGCCCCCAATGACTAGGGGCCCCCTTAAAATGCATTTTTTGATAATAAATTTTAAAAATTAAGAAAAGCAATGATTTTTCAAAATGTTATAATTATTTTTTAGTTCTAATTTAATTAATTTATTATTATTTATTTTAATTTTAAATATGCCTTCTTTAATGAAAAAATATATAAATACATTTATATTTGAATAAATAAAAAATATGCAAGAAAATTTTTTTATCTAAGGGCCCCAAAAATTTGAATGGCCTAGGGCCCCGCATACGCTTAATGCGGCCCCGAAATTAATCTTATGGAAACACATTTTCGGCTCTTACGTTAGAGTATTTTCAGACTAATATTTCTATAAAAATAATATTGCTGTAAATATTTATGTATTTTCTGATTGGCAAGTTTAATTTGAAAGTTTAAAATTTAAAAAAGATTGAAATTATTACGTCACGTTAAGTAGCATTAAAAAATTTGAAATACTCTACTCTGAAAAGTGCTCTATATAAAAATTAAATCTATTTAATCACATTCAGTATCTTATTTTACAAGAAAAAATATCATTCTTCTGAGATGAAATTTTTATTTCCCGATAAATTTTACTGCAGTTTTAAAAGATATAAATATTTAATTGTTAAATACACTGGAAAATTTTTGCAAGAAATTTTCAGAAATAAAACTAAAAAGTAATATAAGTCAACATTTAATCTTATAAGAACTTTTGCTAATCGGTTTTCAGTAATCTTGTTTTTCCTATACACAGTTTTCCTACTCAGAAAAACTGTTAATAGGAAAGTTGTTCAGCTACCTATTTAACAACAAGGTTATGTTAGTTGCGAATGATCCCTTTAATTTTCTTATGCTACTCTTCTTTAGCCACATTATTATGTTTATGGCTTTAAAATGTGAAATTGAAAACTCAAAATTAAATTTTGATTTCTAGCAAAAGCAGATCGCCTGCATTCCAAAACTACCCATTCCTGTGAAGGCAACGAGCTCAACGTTGATTGTGATGAAGGCAAAGTAATTCGATTAATCCGAGCCAACTATGGGCGCTTCAGTATAAGTATGTGCAATGATGATGGACATGTTGACTGGAGAGTCAACTGCATGTCTTACAAGTCTTTCCTAATCATGCAAGACAGGTAATACATATATATATATATATTTCATACTTAGTTTCATATATTTATTATGATAGCCATGGATGTGTGTTCTAGCACGCAGATGACTCGTAAACGCTCTTTATTTTGACATTTTTCAGGATTGGCAGAGCTTCAAATCTTGCACTAAAATTGGTGTTGCTTGTGTTGAAATCTTAGGGAAAGTAACACAAGTTTGTCCCTATGAAATGTTACGTCGCATGGAAAGGGGAAACATTAGTAATTGCAATTGGTCCATTAAATATTTCGGGGGAATACTCCAGTTCTCACTTTTGGTTAAGGGGAAAACTTAAAATGTTAATTCTACTGCATACTTTAATCTAAATGTAGAACGAATGAGAATAATAAAATGTGAGAATGAGTTTAATTTCGAATAATAAGTTGAGAAAGAGAAATTAAATAAAGAAATAACATAAAAAAGATTAGTTTAGGTTATTATGTACCTATTTACTTGCTCTTCTTACCAACTTGACAAAAAATATAATTGAATTTTTTTCTTTTTTCAGATGTAGTCAAAAGCAGAACTGTGGTATTCGTGTTTCAAGTTCTATATTTGGTGATCCATGTCCGGGTACCTTAAAATACTTAGAAGTTCAGTATCAGTGTGTTTCTCGTAAGTATACTTTATCTAATAGTTTTTGTATACTTTGCAGTGCTATAGCACCACAACTATTTAAAGTCTAAGATTGCGCATAGAATTTAGTTTAAATTTTTTAAGTCCTTTTCTGTAGAAATCTTCTATATAGTAAGGCATAAAATGTTTGTGAACGAGTTTGAGAATATATGATGCAGTTGTAAATAATGAAGTGCTTTATTTAGAATTTATATGTATGGGATTTCTTTCTTTTTTCTTTGGAATTCTCCATGAATATTAAATGTTTATTAATGGCATAGAAAGGCGTAAAAATTTTAGTAAATTGATAACACTCTATTCTCATGTTTTAAGATTAAATAAATGCAGACATGATTTATTCTTACAACATCTCTGATCATAAGGTGAAAAAATTTCAATTCCTTCCTTAATTCAATACAATAAAAATGCCAAAGCTTTCCTTTCTTATTAGAACTTATTTATATATAGTTTTTTTTCTTATAATGAAAGCATTTCTGGTTCATTACAAAGTCTTTCTTTACCAAGCAGTTCAGAAAATGCTAATTTAACTTCTCTTTCTTTTCAGCTTCCTTTTTTACAAGCACAACTAGAAAATCAGCAATTCTAGGAAACAATTCAGCTCCAGGAGATATAGATCTAGCACCACCCGACACTACAGTGAGTGCAGTGCTGGAGACATCTAGTGAAATTAGTGAGATTGCACCAATCACATCACCATCTAGTTCCAGCAGTACTACATCCACAACAACCACCGCCACCACATCTGTTAAATACCCCCAAGAGAACTTTAGCCTAGTCACTTCTACAGCAAAATCGACAAGTATGCATGCATGTTATACTGATTTTTCATTGTGTTCTATATTCTGACTTTTTTTTCCTTTTTCTATTGCAATTTTTTAAGTAGTCATTTATTGCTTTAATTTGGTATTAAATGTATTTATTCATTTTAACTGTTCAAATAGACAAGTAAAAATAAAGTTAAAAGCAAAGACAGATATTGATTTTTTTTAAAAAGTTAACTAAACAGTTACATTTGCAATTTTTAAATTCTTTTGTAATTTTGCATTTTTCATAACAAAAGTCCCTCTTACCTTATTATTAGTCTTTTCCTCCTTTTTTTATATAATTTTTCAATTTTTATAATTTTGTTTTAATTACTTCTTGATAATTGCACTTTTTTACCCACTTTAGAAGTTAAACAATTTAGTTCCAAAGCTTTTTAACCCTTTGATGCACCAGCTTTTTATATAATATTTCTGTTGCTTTAATTATATATCTATTTTAGTATTTTTTAAATATGAAAATAGTACAATAGTTAATTAAAAAAATCTGCTAGATTATCAGAATATTTCTATTGAAATGTAAAATTCCAAAAAAAGCAGTTTTAAAATTTTTTTTATTCATATTCAAAAATGTATCAATAACTGATTTTGTACATTAAGGAAATTTCAAGGATAAATTTGAAATTTTTTTAATTTTCTGGAATATGTTTCTTAGATCTCAATAAGTGCACATTTAAAAAATTATTTAGTAGTGAGTCCTGTTAATTTTCCTTTAACTTAGATAAAGATACCAGTGTTTCGTGTAATATTTCAAAAACATTAATTATTAAAATGTTAAATATGTTTTTTGACCTAAATTAATACAAAATAATGAAATAATTTTAAACAATGCATTTTGATTGATACATTATATAAAATATATTTGTAATTATTATTGCAGCTGAAATGCCTACGACAAGTCCTAAAACAACAAGTATACCAACCATTCCACCCAATCATTGTCCTCCTGTTTTAATGAGTGATATTCAATGGAATTGGACTAAAGCTGGCACACAAGCTATTCACAGATGTCCTGGAGGTGCCACTGGTAATACACTTTTCTTTTTGTTTCTTTATTATTATTTCACGAAGATGTTTCAGGTCTTTGTTTATTTGAAGATGTTTCAATTAAAATTATTATCTATATAAATCTTTACTTAATTAAAATATTCTTAATCTGAATAGTAACTTTGAAGTTCTGAAAAGAAATAATATTGCATATTATATAGTTTAAAGAAACAAACATTTTGCACCATTTTTAAAATTATCTACCTAAATCTAAAATATTTACATAAATTTTCCGTATTTCATTGCATTTCTTTATAAAACTTTCAATTTTTTTAAATATGAATATTGTATAAATTTAATTTTAACTTTGATTAGTTTTTCTCTTTTGTATTCATTTCCTTATTCTACTTGAGTATTTATTGTTATTTTTGATTTAGTCATTAAAATTAGCAGTTTTAGTTTACGTTGATAAATTATTTGGGGTAATTTCCTCAGAGGTGTAATTTCTGCAGGCAAACATTAGTGGTAATCGATTCTTATTTTTATTTTATAACACTTTTTTCCAATGTAATGTTTGTTTTTAACACAGTAAAGCTGCTTTTGTCTCCTTAAATTTTGCATTCAACACAATTCATATTAAGAAACAACACACCACTCTCATTTAAAAGTGAAAATGAAAGTTGTAATTTCATGTATAATTTAAATTTTTTCTTATTTATGTAACATTTACAAGTACATTAATTACATCAGCCCATTGATGCCCTCTTTTTCAATAAATCTCTTGTGAATGTCTCTTTTGCATACACTCCTTTCATATAAAACTACTTATTTTGTTTTATGCTGGTAAAATTTAATGAGCAGGATAGTCACAGGTTTATTTTTATTACTTGTCTCCCCTTTCCCCGAATGTTGAGCCATGCTGCATATTGTACTCAAATTTCCCTGCTACTACTTTCAGACAAGTCACCAGGGGCGGAAAAAACATTAACTAACACTCAAATTTAGTTCATACACTGTTCATGAAGTTATTGCGTAGTCGTATGTGACTTAAATAAAACAAAGTCAACAGTACCCAATTGAGTCTTTCAATTTAAATGTTTATTGCTAACGTATATATGTATATTTATTTAGGTCTAGCAAGGTGGCAGTGTGCAAGTGATCCAGTCCGATGGTTGACGCCCTACCCTGATTTAAAAGAGTGCAGATCTGGTTGGGTTGTGAGTTTGAAAAAGAGAGTAAGTAAAACTCTTACATTACGAAATAGTTTATATCCATTAATGTATATTTAATTAATCTGTATTCTTTTATGAATAGATGGAAAATGGAGAGTCCATCAACAATGTAGCAACTGAACTGGCTCTGATGACTTACATTAAGCCTTTGTATGCGGATGATCTTAAAGATATNAACGATGCTCCACTGTAGTTTATATCCATTAATGTATATTTTATTAATCTGTATTCTTCTATAAATAGATGGAAAATGGAGAGTCCATCAACAATGTAGCAACTGAACTGGCTCTGATGACTTACATTAAGCCTTTGTATGCGGATGATCTTAAAGATATTGCAGAAGTCATTCAGCAGACCTTATCTAGAGCTATTAATGGGATGGACAACTTCCATGATTTGTGGCATCGTTATCATGTTTTAAGAGAACTGTTGCAGGTATTTTCTATTTTTTTTATAATAATTAAATATAATTATATAATTTTTTACATTGTAATAAAATAATGTAATGGTTAAACTTAAAAACAGAAATTGTTAAAGAGTAAAAATTCTATAATGCGTGAAAGCTATTAAGTGCTTGACATTATATAAAAGTAAAAACATGCATACCAATATGGTAATCCTAGGATAAAAATTATATCTTATGTTTTGGAATGTGACTTTTGACAATTATGCATGTTTTTCATTTTTTGTAACAATAAATAATTTTATTTCGAAAACTAATCAGAAAATAAAGAAAATTAATCAAGTTAAAATGTCAAAAAATATATAATTCATCACATTAATTGTTCTACGGGGAGGTGGATGTAAATAGTTCTACTCTTAACATAATTTGTTCTGCAGAACTTTTAATTGTTCTGTGACATGTCGCATTTTCCATCACTTTTTGCTTATGAACAAGCAGTTTCACTACCTTACAAAAAATTATTGATTCCTCTATTAAAATAAAATAATAATCTTATGTATATTTCTTGCATAGTCACTTGTGGAAACAATCAGCAACCTGTTGAAAGATGGGCAGAATGCATGGAATGATCTTCCTATTAATGATCGTCGCAGAGTAACTTCATCTCTATTGGATGGGTTAGAAGAAAGTGCAATGCTATTGGCTCATTCATCTGGTATTGAAGACTCCTTCACACTAGCCGAAGCCAATATTTGTAAGTTTTCTACTTTTTCCTGTAATAAATTATTTCAGAGTTTAGTTTATATATCTTTTTAGCATGTACTTGTCAATTAATACAATTTTTTCTTGTTGCATACCAATTTGATTAAAACCCCTACCCATTTACTTAAATATTAGTTTTATGTAATAATACATATATTTTCTAAATAAATTACTTATACAGTACAGAACACGTTATCCGGAAATCAGTAAACCGGAAAACCAAAAAACCGGAACGAAATTCGTTAAATTTTCCNGAAGACTCCTTCACACTAGCCGAAGCCAATATTTGTAAGTTTTCTACTTTTTCCTGTAATAATTATTTCATAGTTTAGTTTTTATATCTTTTTAGCATGTACTTGTCTGTTAATCAAATTTTTTCCTGTTGCATACTAATTTAATTAGAATTATTACCCCTACCCATTTACTTTAATATTAGTTTATGTAATAATACATTTATTTTCTAAATAAATTACTTAGTTATTACAGCTAAGTTAAGATTTAAAAAATTTAATATTAGTATGCAAACATTTTCAATTCTTATTTAAGAGAGTGCTTACAATTCATTTTATTTTTAATCATCTTTGTTCAACATTTTATGATATATGCACCAAAAATTCAGATTTTATCCGTTAATCATTTGATAGTTGATCACCTTATTTATTAACATTTTAATTTATTTAATAACATTATTATTAATTATTACTAAATTATTATTACTATATTTTCAGTGTTATCAGTTCAAGTAGTGAATGCTAGAACGACAAATGCAGTTCAGTTTCCAGTAATAAATGATTTTCGAGGTGAAACAGGCGAAACTGCATGGATACGTATGGACGACACTCTTGTTTTGCCAGCACAAACTTTATTAGATGTTTCAAAGCATGGTAAAAAACACACTTTAATGTATTTTTCTTATTAAATTCACATTCAATATGTCATTAAATAAATTTATTAAATAATTCACTAACTAATTATTCAATAACTTCTTCTCAATTTTCAAATGGATACTATTCATTTGTCAATTTCTTTGTTCTGAAATTATTATATTTTTTATCAGGAAGTTATTAGTACTAATGATTATTTTAATGTGCATATTTTAGGTCTTGCAAAAGTAGTATTTGTAGTATACAGTGGAATTGGAAATCTTTTGAAACCAGAACCAGGGTATTCTTTTCGAAGTGGAAAAGGGAATTCTAGTTGGCGTATAAACTCTAAAGTTATAGCAGCATCAATTGGAAAACCTGGAATGACAAGGCTGTCTCAACCAGTGATAGTTACTTTCAGACATTTAGAAGTAAGAATGGTGCTTATTTTTAGTATTATTTAGTTGAAAATTCATATTTTAGATAATTAGTAAATATATTAGTACCTGGTAGCAGAATTTACAAAGTCAACCTGCTGCACTTCATGCCTTTTGTCTGTGATCCACCATCATATTCTATTATTGTAAAAATTACATGCATTCAAAAATTTGCACATATAATGTAGATAAAAAAATTCTTAAAAATTCATGCTAAATTAATTCATATTTTTATGCACTACTATTTCTGAAGAATAAAATTACTATGCTGTAGCGTAGAACCAAACAATCAAAGTTTTTAAAAATAAGTGTATATATATTTTAATTTCTTAATTTTGTCCAAAATTTCAGTTTATTATAAAAAGTAAACTTTTTGAAAAATCATCAATTCAATTTTCTTTAGCTTTAGTACCTGCAGATTGCTAAACAAATAATTTTAAGAAACTGTAACAGAAGTGAAGTTTAGGTACAAAAGTGATTCAAATGGATATTTATTAGTGAAGTTTAGGTACAAAAAAATGTTTTTCTTCTCCTCTCAACAAACTTTTTTTTTTTTTAAATAACTTTTGATTGAAAAATAATCTGCAGCACTAGCTGCCGCTCTAGAGAATTTCTGCTCTGCTACCAAGAATTAGCAAACGTTGAAACTTAAGTATTAATTTAATTTCTTCAATTGTATTTAAACTAAATGTTTATTCGATTGTAGGAAGAAAATATGACCAATCCAATGTGTGTCTTCTGGGATTTTGACACGAGGTATGTTTATTTGTTTTAATATTCTCTCTATAACTGTCACCATTTCATTACAGCGGCATAAAATTTTTTATTCCTTTATTTCCCACAAAAGTAAACTTTTTTTTACAATTTGCAGAGAATGGTCTAATGCTGGCTGCTGGGTCCAATCCACAAATGCTACACACACTTCGTGTGCTTGCAACCACTTGACTAACTTTGCTGTAGTCATGGAAGTAACTGATGTAAAAGTATGTGAATTTTTACTAAGTTTATTTTCATTAAAATATTTTTGTTTTCTCAAAGATTTGTGTATGTAACAGTCATCTTATATATAAAGTTTTAAATACTTAGTAAATGGTTTAGAATTTAAAACATTGTTTTAAGCATTAAAATGTGAAGTGCTAAATTTAAATGTGCTCTAAAATTTCAGATTTAATAACAGTAGAGCTTTGAGAATCTTAATGATTTGTTCTAAGTTACACTTTCAAAAGTATTCAGGTTTCCAGATAATACATTTCATGTGTATCTGGAAACCACAAGATAACTGTACACTGTTATCTTGTGAGAAATATAGAAAAAATTGTTGAGTACCCAGCTGTAAACAATTGCAGACGAAAGGAAAGCTGGGTATAAGAATTTCATCTGTGAAAAAAAAATTATTGTTTTTGCTGGCCTTTCAATCATAAGTTACATTAAATAAGCTTTGCTATTAGGTTTAAGGAATTGTTTATATTTATTATTAATAAAGTAGAATATATAAGTAGAATCCAAACGAATTTTTTTTAATAATTTTTTTTATTTTGTTATTTTTGCCATATAATACAGTTTTAATTACATATGTATATTAATTAATAACACAAAATTAAAAAAATTCCATGTATGAAATTTTAATCTGTAATGTTAAGAAAATAGCATTTTCAATCTTATGATTAACTGTGGCTTTATAGAAATATTTTCTATATAAATGAATTTTGTGAAAAAGTTTATAATTCTTACGTTTTCTTTTAGGAAGTACCAGTTCCTCAAGATATTTTGCATGTGACAATCACTGTAGGGTGCGTTATTTGCATCATCTGTCTAATTGTGACGATCATACCAATATTTCTATTAAGGTTAGTGATAGTCATTTACATTATTTTAGCACTAATATACGCTTACATTCTGCATAATAACAATAAATAAAGTGTGTTTAAATAAAAGTAATATACCAAATTCATTATATTGATAAGTGTCACTTAAAAAATTTAATATTTAAGTTTAGAATTATCTTCACTTGCAATATTCCTTGTTTAAATTGTTTGTTATTTCATAAAAACCTGCATTGTTTTGTGGGTCTACAATGTTGTTTTTTAAATTGGGGTCTTAATATTTTTAAAATATTATTAATTTAATAGTTTTCTAAATAATTTTTATTATAAGTTTAAAAAAATATTTAAAATTAAAAGTATATTTAAAATTAAAGTTATTTTTCATAAAGTGTATTTATCTACCTTGACAAATAAATATATATTTTTTTTCTGCAACAAATCTTAATACAACATTCAATAATTTTTAATGTAACAATAATTAAGTAGTAAAATATAATAAGTAGTAAAATTTTATATAAAAAACAGTACTGTTGTAAATAATATCTTATGAATTAAATACAATAAAAACCTGTATATTTTCTTATAAAAATAAAAACTAAGTACCTGATATAAATAAGTACCTAATATAAAGATAAATAAGTACCTGAGATAGACCTCATATATTGGATTATAAATGATGTTTACAATTTCATTATTCTATTTTAGGAGCTTGAACGGTGATGCTGTCACAGTTCACCGCAATATATTTGTATGTTTACTCCTAACCGAAATCGTGCTGGTTGCTGGTGTCGAACAAACGTGGGAACCGATTCTGTGCGCAATATTAGCAGCTGTTCTGGACTATCTACTTTTGGCTACCATCTGTTGGGCCTTCCTGGAGTGTTTTCAACTGTATGTAGAACTAGCAGACATATCACAACCGCAGAAATCCCGATGGGCCTGGTACTATGGTCTCGCCTATTGCGTGCCAGCTGTTATTGTCAGCATAGCTGCTATTGTAGATTGCAAAAGTTTGGGAACCGAACGTCTGTGCTGGCTTCGATCTGACAACTTCTTCATATTCAGCTTCATTGGACCAGCAGTTGGCATCTACTTTGTAAGTGCTATAATATTGACAAAAAAATCAAGTACAAAATTACTGCAGAGTTGTTTTAATATTACATTGTTATTTTTATTTCTATTATAAAAATCTTTCATAAAATTTTGATGTGATGTAAAATAGGAAACAAAATCGTAAATGATTTCTTATTACACTGTGTAATTTGAAACAATATTTCTCTGTCTCAAAATATATTTCAAACAATTGATTACAATCATTAACATTTATAATACAATGTTTTATGATTTACAATTATAAAACACTGTTTAAAGCAATGATTCAATTTTTAAAGAATTAACTTTTATGAACTATGTTTATGTAATTTGTTTCATTAAATATAAATAACATGAAAGATTGTCTTTAAATATTAAGAACTTCATTAAATTTTTATATTCAAATTATATAACAATTATGTACAAAATTTAAAAACAATATTTTGTGTATAAACTATATTTTTTATGTTACGATTGCTATGTTTATATAATTAAAGTTGGCAAAATTTAAGCTTCATAAGCAACATTTTAGTAACATAACATTTCTTTTCTCAAATATGTTATTTTGTGGTGTATAATGAACTAAATGGTTCTTCTGTATTATACTCATTTTCTGCAATTATTTTCAGGGCGGAATGGTATTTCTTTGTGTTGCCAGCTGTATACTTTGTCATCATTCCAGTATAACTACAACTATTAAAGGAAAAGAGGAAGCTAAGTTGTCTAAGATTAAAATACATATTCGACGTGCAGTTTTACTCATGCTGATACTAGGACTAACTTGGACTACCGGCCTCTTGTATCTACACCAGGAAACAATTGGTCTTGCCTATACTTTTACTGTCCTTAACTCCTGCCAAGGAATATTTATATTAATTTTTTACTGCATCACTGATGAAAAGGTAAATGTCGATTTCAAAAGCTTTAAATTTAAATCTCTGGAAACAAATTATTAATGTCCCTATGTTTGTATTTGTTCCTCCTTGCTTATAAGAGTCTTTTTCTCACACAATTTTATATTCTAGTTTTTGATTTATCTTTTCTCATTGTGTTTTGGAGAAATAATGCTTGATAACTTTAAGAATTTATGTGAATTTTTTTCTCAAAAAAGTAAAGCAATAAATTCATGGGGTTAGTTATTTTGGATAAATCTTGTGCATTTGTCTGTTCTTAGATCTTCTTAAATTTGCTTTTATCTTAAAACAGACAAATCCAAACAGACATCATCCAAGCCTGTATTCATCTATTTTACTATTGTTTAAGCAGCTGAATATATATTTGAATGATGTTTAAAAATTCTCTTAATGTAAATTATCAAAAGAGAAAGATATTTTTAAAAATCTAAATGCAGTCAAACGTATAATGCTAAACTATCTTCAAAACACGCTGTGTTCAAAAATTCTACAAGCAAAGCTTTGTCAAAAATTTGCTTAAATTTTCGAGCAATGCCATCAATATCTCTAATTTTTTATCAGTGAATGACCTTGTATTTTACATATAATATCAGTAAATATCTCAAGTCAGTGAAATTTTCATATAGATGATAAAAAGCATGTTTAGAATTTTTTTGCTTGTCTACACATGATTTGGTCATAAGAAAAGGGAACTCCTAAAACTAAAAACTATGTTCATAGTTTATTTTAATTTCTTTTCTCTCTCTTTTTTCCCCCCTCATCAAATTGCACATGCATTCTTGATGCTAAACATCATTCCTCTGCTTCCTTTCTTCTCCAGAATAAATTTTTTAATAAAACAAAATTTAAAATAGTATAATTTTTTTTTGCAATAAGTTATCTAAATAGACTTTAATAAACAAAACCTTTCTTATTTACAGATCCAGCCTGAACTTGAACGCCTAGGTGATTGCCGCTTCCTCGGTTCTCTAAACCGCTCCAAAGGAAATCTTCCGCCACCAGCAGCTCTGAGCCCTGGCTCCCCTGGCCAACACAGTGTGGGTAACCCCTGCCCTCCCCTCTCTGTATGCACTCATAGTCCCTCAGGTATTTTTCCTGCACCCTAGACAGCATGTGTCTTCCATGCATGCAATTTGACCAATACTTTTAAGTTTTGTTCATTTTCGCTTTATGACCTCCCTTACATCGGCTGAGCTTTGATTTCCTTTCTTTTCTTCCAATTAATTTCATAATTAAAAATAACTTTTAAGTTAATTTTTTTATTTTTTAGAAAATTGAAATATGACTGTCAATTTTTAAGCAAAACTGCTGCTTGTAAGAATTCATTTTCTTAGTAAAAAAATTTTCATTTTATGCAAAGTCTTTAATTCCGTAATTGAAATATAATTAATGTAAAATAAATTTTTAAAAACTATTTTAATAACTTCAGAACTTAATAATAAAAGATGGAATTTGTTTTTTAAGCTTGTCATTTAATAAAATTAAATATAGCAGTAAACAATTTAGACATAAATTCATTCCCAGTTAAGAACTTAAAATTATAAGATCTTCAGTGTATTTTACTTTCAGTTTTTTTTCCCTCTTTAGGGCTGCTGCATGAAATTGTTACTTTGCATTTATTTTTATAATATTTATTTTTCTTTGAGACTTTGTATCTTTGTTATCTTTTCTTTTTAATAGCCTAACTATTCCCTTTCCAAACCTGCTGGTCAGATACCTTGGGCTAAACATGTTTTTTTCCCTTAATACTTCATGAAAATTGTTTTTATTTGTACATTATACTACTATCATAGAAATTTAACAAATTTATCCAGTTTACCAGTTTAAAAAGTTGTAAATTTTTTTGAAGAAAATATATATTTGCCTATTTTATAATTGTTTATCTCACACCAGTCAAATATTTATCAGAAATTTTGTGCACAAAGCTAAAACATTTAAATCTAAATTCATGCATTAATAATAATTTTTAATTTTTTAAGCATATAATGTATTTAGTAGAAAATCAAAAAGACAATATTTAATTGTTTTACTTGTGCATAAAAATAAAGTAACTAATAAACTATGGTATAAAGAAAAGATTTTAGTAACATAACACACCTAAACATGAACACATACTTCAGCAGTTTAAAAATAAATCTTGTACTAAAAAATTGATTTGAACCACATAATTTTTTATTGAAATTGAATAAATATTTCATCTAGGGTTCTAATATTTCTTAATTAAGTCTTAAACAGTACTGTTTACTGAGAAATATCAGGTTTATAGCAAAATTTCCTTTAAAATGGATGAAATTATTTGTAATATTTTAGAAAAATGTTTATTTAAATTTAAAAATTCACACTATTATACAAATCTTTTGATTTAAACAAATAAATAAATAGATTGCCACTTGCTTGGTTGTGAAAATGCAAGAATTTACTAACCTCAAATGATACTCATACTATTGCATCTTGTGCTTTTTCATTTTGATTTTACATTAATGTTTTTTACTAATGAATGGAATGCTTAACACAATCATCATTTTTAAGGTGCGAATTTTATCTATTGCTTACAAGAGGAAACGATAAATTATTTTGCTAGCTGTAAAAAAAAAGCTGCCTTGTATATAAAAAAAAATTTAAACAAAATGTAGTGATAAACAAATTTACATTTGTACAAAAATTTCTTAGAAGTTATAGTATTGAGATAAGATGAATTCTTAGTGAAAAAAATCATAACTTCTATGTACGTCATAAGTGATGAATGTGTTAATAACATATGCTAACTACTAAAAATTTATATTTAATTAAAATGAGATTTCTAAATTATTCTTTTTTATTGTAGGAGGTATGTCAGGACATCGAAAGCCCCCACAAACAAGGAAATTGCTCTGTCAACCTTACTTCCACAACACTAGGTATGGATATAACTAAAATTATTATTTTTCTAGTTATTAATTAATCTTTCTTATGTTGTATAACTCACTTTTGATTTTATTCTATCAAGTTTATCGGGATAACTTATACACACGCCGTCAATCAGTTTTTTAAAACTTCTAGTTGTTCAGGAACTATTCTGCCAATTTATGTTTTAAATAATTTCTTTTGCTATGTAAAATGACGTTCTTAAATATGATGTAAAATATTGTATACTTTACAATTCATAATTTTTTCGGATATTATTAAATAACATAATAAAAAAAATGTTAAACTAATAATAATTTATTGCATGAAATTATCCTTTGATAAAGGTGTTTTACAATTGTGTGTTAGCATTTTCTGATTCACCTAAAAAGTTCACGAAATATGGCAAAATATGCAGAAAGTAAAATTAACAGCAAAAGGTGAAAACTTAAGACCACTCACCTTACCAAACTGTTGAGACTGTATTTCACAGATTACGTCAACCCCCTATATTTTGGGAGTCAGAAATCCAAATTCGTGGGTAAAAAAGGTGTGTTTATTCAGAGAATATGAATTTTTGTGTCTGATTTCGCAACCTAAAATATCGTAATTAGCATATTTGAGGTGCATTACTACTGAAGTATAAAAGAATATAGCAAAAAATATTTTACAGTTCCAAATTTCTATTTTACAGCCATAAGTCACAATAATGATAAACAAAATATGAATTAAACTGGCAGAGGGCTAGTAATTTTCACTTCAGGTTTAACTAAATAAAACTAAACTCAGTGGCGCGGCAGCCCATCGAGGGTCGGATTTGAAAGCTCTCTTGCGCTTTCGAACATGATTAGTACAATTGGCCCTTTTGTCAGAGTGGGAAAATTTTTTCCGAGAACTGAGAGATTTTCCGAGAAATTTTTTTTTCACTTGGTAAATAAGAATGATACAAAAAAATAAGTTTGAAATTTTTTCAAAACTTCAATCTTTTTTTTTTTACTACAGCAAACCAATTATTTTGAGGAACAGCATTTTCCCTCCCAACAGCAGCACTGCCTTAATATAAAACAATCAAAATACTCATTAAAATATTACTAAGTTGTCATAAATTTAGCCATATTCATATGTAACTGCATGTTCTTGACTGCATTGTTTTTAAATATAAAGTAAATATAAATTTAAAAGCTTCATACAGATCACAAAACTACTAAGCCAAAATAACTGAATTATATAATATTTAAAATTACTCACGCTTTCGGGCACGCAGATTTAGCATCATTTTTCCAGAAACTGCCTCTGTTTATGCAGACTGTCAATCGAAATTAACCTATATGTTCTGCATCTATTGGAATCTCCAGAAAGCTTAAACGTCCATGAATGTTTCACTGAGGGTAAAGCTATAAATTTCCGTAGAGCGTGTTTTTGGAAGCTAAGGAGCGAAGGTTTTCATATGTAGAAGTAATGAAGAGGTCAAGATTTAGTCCTAGAATGCAAAGATCCGATCAAAATTTATTCAGAGTAGTCCTTTTTTTCTGCGCACAGTACACAATACTGTATTACTGTTTTTAAAACTTATAATCAAGTTTTAAATGCAATATTTATTTCAATTAACTGTGTGGTAGTTTTTGAAATTAATTTCTTCTTTTTATTGTTAGGTCCCCTATATACCACATCAATCAGCAGCCCAATACAGGAGAACCATACGGCTGAAATAGCTAAAGTTCCCCAGCAAGTTTACGGACTACAAAAAGCTGCTGAGGTGTATTCCCAAAATAATGGACCAGGAATAAATCATCAAGAATCTCCATGTAAAGTTTGGCTGCCTTACGAGTGGCAACGTCGGCTGGATCGACAGTATTTGGGAACTGGTGACTTATACGGCCCTTTCACTGAACACATCTACGAAAGTGTCGATGGTGATTACGGATATTCTGGACATCCAAGGTCTCTCGCTGGCGAGTATTGCTACCGATCTGATGTTAGCCAACATTCATCATCCAGCTACGGTTATGACCAGAGACCACTTTTGATTTTGCCTCGTCACCCCGGCCACGGGGATTACGGTACTGGAAGACGTCACTCCCCAGACAAGCACCGCAGGCGGCACAGAAACCACAGGCGTTCTGTCGACGACACAAAAGCAGACAATATTTCTACTGTGGTTGTTGAACAGGACCACATTCAAAATGACATTGAGAGAGGTGGCAATCAAGTGCAACAGCAACAACAGCCACCAACAACCGAAGAGAACGAATGGAATCTCCCGGACTTGCTGCGTTGTCCCGTGGACAACACGGTTGTGATGGCCGTGCTTGATGGGGAGAAAGTGGTCAGTCGTGTGCAACCGGAATGTCCGCATTACAATCTCAGTACTTACTGTTGATAATCAGCTTGTATATATTTATTTGTATATAAAAAATGAAAAGTATTCGTGTGTGGCGGCATTTATTAAAGGGAAGAGAGCATACGTTTGCTTTGCCGTAACTAGGAACAATGCTGGACAGATGGTGAAAAAAAAAGAGTCTTGCCTGCCGAGCTTTTTGCATTGCTGCATATGAACTTTCTGAAAACTGCTGAGCTTTTACATCGCAGCTAATAACTCAAAGCTCAATGGAATAATAATAAATAGAATATATTTATTTTACACAATTAGTCAATCACGAGAAGTGCTGGAAAAAAAACTGAATTTTGAAGAACTTATATAATTTTTTTTCAAGTTAATTTTGCTTCGCTAGTTACGGCTTTGCATCCAGGGCAGCTAGTCGTACAGGGCCTAGTCCGGCTTGATTTTTATGTTGATTTTTTTTAATAAAAACGAAGGAAAAAATAGAGTATGTGATGTACTCAAGATTACTATTTCTGTTTTTGCTGGATGTCTTAATTTAATTATGATTCAATTAAAGGAATTGCAATTCAACTATGCTTTTCCTGATTGTGATAGATATTTCTTTTTAAGTAGTACTAGATTCAAAATTGAAAATATTTAATTTATTGTGCCATTAGTTGTTGTTCTATTTGATGTACTTCTTTTTATTTAACACTTTATCTACCAAGGAAAAGTAATTAGGCTACTAAAGTTTGGTACTTTATAGAGTAAGTTATTATTTTTTTTAACTGTTAGATTGTCAAGTCTCTCATGACAATTTTCTCATTGCAATTCAATATTTTTTTTTAAATGCCCAACTAGGCTTTTAACTAATAAAATGACTTTCAGTCTGTGTGGTAGATAAAGTGTTAAAATTCAATAATTTTTTTCTGAATTACGAATAATTAGTTTAAGGAAAAAGTAACATTGATTATATTCTTACAATTTATTATTTTGAAGAATTTTTACAGAAAATTACCTAATGTCAGATGGCATTTTAATGATTACAAATTTTATTAAATTCATAGAAATTTTTCTAGAAGAAACTTATTTCTTGCTTACATTTCTTTATTTTACAAACTGGAAATATAGATTAATCATTGTAGGTTCTCATTTTATATCATTTTCTCTATATATACGTATCTCATCGAAAATGTATTTTCATTTACAAACTGGTGATCTTTCTGTTACTTTTTTTTAAAGAGAGAGACTTAAACCCCCCATTTCCCAATGTTGTGTTATAGTCTAAAAACATTCATATTTTGAGGATATTTTTCCCAGTGGGAGAAAAAAAAAATGAAACCTTTTTTAAGTGATGTAAAACATGTTCCTTTACTTGTGCATTCATTTCAATGTTTATATGTGATACACAGAGTTTTTCTGTACCGTGTTCAATATGCTGTGTTTGTGTTTCTGCAGTCCAAGAAAAAAAAATTTGGAGGTTGTATGTGTTTTCCATTATTTTGGACTGTTGTTTATACAAATTGCTTTGATTTCATCGTTTTAATTGCTATCATTGTAATTATGTTTTTCTAAGGTTATATGGAAGCTGTTCATATTGTGTCAGAGCTAATAAATTTTAAAATCTATTTCCTTTGTTTTCATTATTTATACTTGCATTTAAATCAGTAATGTATTAAGTACAGTCAATAAGTGGCCATTAAATCAAAACTGTAGTATTGAAAAAATTTAGTTGAAATAGAGATGAATGAGTGGCAATCGTTAAATTCAAAGAATTAGAAGCCTGTAACTTGAGAAAGTCTGTCCTTGAAAGACTTGTGTCTGAAGACTTGTCTGTCCTTGAAAAAGGGACATACAATATAACCGTCAATACATAGCTAGTAAAAAAATTTACTAACCTTTTTCCTGAACTAAACATACCATGTTTTTGATTTAATTTCCACTGACTCATTATTTATAAGGTGTATCTAAATTAGTATATGCAAAATAAACAGGCAGGGTGTTTTGTAAAAACCGCCATTAATATGTAATTTCAGAATCCCCGTCAAAAATTAGAAGAAAAAAGTATACAACACACCAATACGTTAATATTAAATAGAGGAAAAAATTATATCCAAATTTGACAAATTAAAGTACGTACGGGACTACAGAGGGATGTAATAAACAATTCTGACTTGATTGCAGGAAGAAACAAAAAAATGATTAAAAGACAAAAGAAATATTTTCAAATACTATGTTATAGTTAAATAAAGATCTAATGTGGATTTTCATGCATGTCAAATAAAATATAGTTAACTAAACTTTTGAATTATATCAAATAAAGTAATAATAATAATAAAGAAATAAAAATAATAATAAAATTCTTTCAAAAAGTACATATACTTTTTGAAATATTTTTGATAGAATTTTATTTTTTCATCGAAACAAAAAATAAGATGGACAGAATATATTTTCATTAAATAATAATTCTTTTAAAAATTAATCACAACAAAATTTAACAAAAATTAGTGTAAAGTTATAAAATTAAAGTTGTCGTAATGTACTGCAAGAACTATATCGCAGAATGCTTAAATATATAATTAGAATAATGGCATTGCAAGGATTAAATTTGAAAAACTGCTAAATTGAATGAACCTTTCTTTTTTTTTTTTTTTAATGAACAAAATTTCATCTTAATAATTTATTTTTTACAATAAGGCAGTCACTAACATGGGTGTCACTCTTCAGCCCTGGGGACTAAAATCAGTTATGATGAGAAAAATTAGCGGCTTCAATTCCATCAATTAACATCTCTTCCACATTTATTCGCTTAAATTAAATGTTCCTTTAAAATGAAACATATTTGCTGTTAAAATTTAAAAAGAAAACAATAAAAAAACTATATTTTAATGAAAACATTGTTATTTTTCACAATTATTGCGAAATAACCAAGTAATGATGTAACACTGCAAAGAAAGAATGCAATTGATTGAACTTCAATGCCTGCTTGTGTAAACCAAATTTGTACAATTGCTGAATCTAATCCCCGCAAACATATTGGTACACTGGTCTTAAGTTAAATCAGGATTTTTTTTTTTTTTTTAAATTATAGTGCTTGATGAAAAAATATTGGTATAAGTAGAGATATGAATGATTTCAGTACTCAATCGACTGCAAATCTTTTTTCATTATACTAGCAACTACATTTTAGGTCTGTTTCCAAAATATCTTTCTAAACTGGGTTACATACTATGTTTTTAGTTGAAATGCACTCATAGTTTAAGACGTGTATAAATATTAATATTATATACATAGATAAACATATATTTAGATATAAATAAACAGAATTTCGTAAAAACCGCCTTTGGTATGTGATTTTAGAATTCCTATAAAAAATTAGACACAAGGAGTCACATTAATATAAAATTGAGGAAAAAATTAGATCGAAATTTGACAAATCACAGCACAGGAATACAAACAGATGTAATAAACAAGACAGGTTTGATGGCAGGAGGAAACAGAAAAAGGATTGAAAGACAGTAAAAACATTTTCCAGTTTTAACCACAATTACATTAAAAAGTTAGTGGTTTATTATTCAGTTATAGATATGAGAAATATACAAAGTTAGCTGTTACTTTGTTCAGCTTGCTAAAAAAAAATTTATAAAATAAAGAGAATTACTTTTTAGAAAAAATAACCAAATTGATGTAATATGTAGGCCATTATCACGGAAAGGTAAATTTCAGAGTCAGTGAGCTATAAATTTCTAAATATTCTCATGAACAAAGGTTCATTAATTTGTCAAAAAACAAGTTTTGAATTTTTTTTTAAAGTGGCACGCATGGTCATAAAGATAAATGGCATTATGTTGTAGTTCAATCCGCATAAATAACAAAAAAATTCCACTTAAGAAATATAATTTTGTAACACAAAATGTGTGGAAATGCACAAATAACTTAACTTAAAAAGAGTCAAAGCATTTTATTGTTCTTTGTGTGTATTTCTCTCATAATTATACATAAGCACTAAGACTATCCTCCTCTATTTTAACCTTTTTACTGTTGCAAATACGAAAATTACCATTTCTAAACACACTAACTTTAAATTATAGAAAATATTAGTGCCAAAAAGCAACCAGTTTCTATCGTAAATACTGAGTTTGCAGTTAACCCAGTTAAGGAATAAATCATTACTTTTTTTTTTGTATAAAATTATCAGCAAATTCCATTATTATTATTTTTTTTTGTATATTTTCATGTAAAGTAAGGTTTCTTCCAGTTTTAGAATTATAATTTACTTTCAATTGACAACAAAAAACAAAATCTAAAATGTTTTTTTAAAAAAACATTTACAATGAATACTCAAATACAAAAATAAACAAAATAGTAGAGTAGTAATAGTAAATACAGTAAAAGTTAACTTTAATAAATATTTAGCACAAAATATGAACTTTTGACATAAAAAATAAATAACTTAATAAGTGCTGCTGGATCATTCAGTTACGATGCCATTTTCTTTATTTGAAAATTAACAGATACGCAAATCTCATTTTGTCAAATCCTCCCCTTCACAAAAACATAAAGATAATAGGTAGGTACTTTATTTACATCGACACTAGAGCTGCACAATGGGCTATTGGTGACTGTCTGGGAAACATCCCAGAGGATGATCCGAAGACATACCATTGCAATTTTGATCCTTTGCAGAGGAGATGCCTTCCCTGCTTTGGTAGCCCGATGACCTGCGCATTAAGTTGAGCACTTTAAGGTAGAACATTTTAATGAGGATCGAAACCACACGCCCTCGGTTGCTACGCAGGCTGATCAAAGTAATGGTTACTGACCGCAGTCAATAATGCTCGACTTCGGTGTTCTACTCGAAATGGTGTCCTTACGATCAGTCCACTGCAGGACAAATTTTTAATGCGAGTAAATTGCTTGATTTTATTAAGAACCAAAAAATTTACTCCATTCATTTTGTTCTTTCTAACATAACTTAGTTTTTAAACATTCAATTTATATTAATTTTAAATTAGTTGGTTTTATAGAAAAATTTGTTTAATAGCGTAACTATAAGACAGGTAAAGACACGGTTCCCAGTTGACACAGTAGCGTGTTCTACTGGGAACCGTGTCTTTACGATCAGTCCGGGGCACATAAAGATGAATAACACATGCAGATGAGGATATGTCAGGTGTCTTGGAAAGAGAGGTATTGAAAAATATATTTGGTGGTTAAAATAACAAACAAATGGTGCATGACTAAGACTTAATTTGGAGCTAATACTGCTTAAGGAACTAGATATCATTCATTACATTCAACCACAAAAACTAAAAGGGAAATGCAGTCAGGACGCATGAAGATTGCCCCATGAAACTTATTTTCCTTACAGGATTTGGGTTATTTATATCTAAATAACTTCAATTAAAAGAATACTGGCTTTAACTTCAAAAAAAATAACCGAGTAAGGAATACTGGACAAGTATTACCAGACAATGACTCTTTACCTCAAAAATAGTAAGGAATACAACAGGTTGGGATAATTACCTAATTATTCAAGACATTCTTTCTTGTTGAAGAAAACGAAATAAAAATACTTGTTGCACCAAATAATACTTTGAATACATCATGATCATACTTATTGAAAACATGAAGTAATCAATGCATCATTACTGTTTTGTCACTTTATAGGGTTATATAACATATGAAATGCTTGATCATTTAATAAGTAGCCAGAGGAACAAATCATTCTAAAAACTAAAAATTATTAGTTCAATCTTTGACTTATGGCTGATAAAATAAGTATACCACAATAGCATGTTAAGCATTAATGGGAAAGATTAAGATTTATGAACCAAGTTACTTTAATACACATACAAGTTCATGTGAAATCTGCAAACTAAACAGTCAATTTTTAACAATCACATGAATAAAAGAACTGTAAATTATATATATTGAATAAAAAAAATTACTTCAAATGCAGGGCAAAGAAACAAATTTCCAACTTCCAGTATAGACTGTTTATGATGCTTGAGATATTATATAACTTCAAATTCTGCTTCTTTACTCATCCTGAAGTATAGGAAATCTGCCAAAGGAAATAGTTTAAAAATCACTAAAAATTCTAATGTTGATTAAAAAAAGTGATGAAGTTAAACCTGAAACATACTTATTTTACTCCTGATCTGGATTTTTGACCATAAAATTGTAGAGGTAGCTGCAGTCTAGAAATTTTTACACCGATAGTGTACTATGAAGAGTGGTCGAAAGTTTTCATTTTAATATGTGGAAATCTGATCAATGACTTAAAAGCTTTTTTTTTAGTGTGTGTGTACTGAACATAATCGATAATAGAGATAATCTAATAAAGAAATTTAAAAAAAGAAAAAATTTCATCTAACAAACCATTGTTTCAAAATGAGATTTATTTTAACTTACAACAGACATTTTAATTCAATATTTTACAATTTTTACTATTAAGAACCACAAAAATGCAAACAATTCTACATAAATATTTTTTTTGAAAGACAATATTGCATAGTGCAACGTTTAACAATTATAACAAATTAAGAAATTATATCATTATTAAAAATAAGAAAAAAAATCCTCCCTAATTTTTGGAAGCATCAACTAAGAATAAAACAAAACAAAATAAAGTATAATTAAACAACAAAAGAGTAAAAAAAAAAGAAAAAAAAAGCTAAATAATTGTATTTGTAAAAATACGAATTGATAAAAATATAGACAAAAAGTTTTTAGCACACAACTTAAATACATATTTCTTGCTTAGAAATACTTACATAAATGAACACAAAGCTAAAGAAAATGTAATGAAACTTTTGCATGAAAATATGAAGAAAAAAATATGCCCATAGTCTGCTAATTGGGATTGATTTGAATGCAAATGAACGGTACATATTTTTAAGTTATAAGTGGCAAGTAATCAATTTTAAAAAATAATTTTTTTAAAACTTGCAAAAACAAATTAATGAAACACAGAAAATATAAACTGCATTTCTTTTGACTAACTAATCATAACCTTCAATCGTGTTTCTTTGGACGAGCACTTAAACCCATGTCTATTCTCTTCTTTGTCAAAGAAAATAGAATTCAATCTCAGTAATGTTCCAGTCACTAAATGTTCCACATCAGTGACTGGATAATAAATATTCATAATAATGTCAGTGACTGGATATAATCATTAAAAATATTATTAATTTATATATGCATCTACTATTATAAAATATTTCAAAGTAATTATCTAAGATAACATTGACAATTTTAAAAGAACAAAATTCTTAGTTTAAATTTTCATTAAATTAGGTGGCTTTCAATTGTGTATGCTTTTTGACAGGTTCAAAAACAACGGTTAAAAATAATTGGTAAAATAAATAGAAAAATGCTTTATTATAATTCCGTGTTAAACGGAACAAAATATATGTACAAAATAATCAGTTTCATACAGTAATCAAAAAAATCTATATTCAATAATATTAAAATTAATAAGTAAAATAAATTAAGATTTTATCTTTAAAAAAAAAACATACACAAATCTCTTTCCAAAAAAAAAAAAAAAAAAAAAAAANAAAAAAAAAAAAAAACGTTTCATTAAATAAATAAAATTGCAGTTAATGAAGTTTAACATACATTATTTAACACACAGTAAGTATATTTTACACTTTTATAAAAGTTATTCATCAACAACTCTCAAATAAAATAATGACACATTTTTTTTTTTAAAAAATCAAAGTTAATACAGTTTTATTTAACAGACATTAAAAAATAGTTTAACCAACCACAAATTCAGGAACATTAATTTGTTAAAACATGATAAATTTAATTAAAATGCAATACACTTGCCAATACTAATTTTAAGGCCCAAATTTCTAATGAAGAATAATTTGAAATGTGAGCAATAAGTTTCAATTATTTTACTGCTTTAAACCCAAAATAAAAGGAATTAATATTATATCAATTTTAAATTATGAATTTTGAATGTGAGAAGGAAAATACATAGATTTGTTTTATTCAGAAAAAAAAAACCCAAATAATTTTTATGAATATTATTTTAAATTTTATTTTGAACATTATTACGAACATTATTTTAAATTTTATTTTGAAACATGTTTTATATATTTTTTACAATATATTATTTATAAAAATACATGTATTTAATTCTTTAAGTTTTAATCGTAAATTTGTGTCTCACTGTTTACATTTATGTATTAAATAAAATCTAAAGCATAGATTAACATGTTTCTAGCATAGAATAACATGCAATTGAATTGTGGATACTTACTTCACAAAATGAAACTGAGACAGTAGAAATTTAACGATAAACACATACTCTATTTTCAATACTTGATCAAAATAATTTTTCGATCTAAAAAACATAACATTCACAATGGCTTATTGATGGCACAATTGAGGTCCAAAGAAAATCATATAATCTCTATGTCCAAAAACGAAATAAAATTGCTTCGAGTATAATAAAAAAAGTTAAGTGCTTTTGGAAGAAAAGAATAATATAAATTTAAAAATTATATTAGTAAACACTCAAACTTTATTAAAATCTAATTTTATAACCTAGAGATAGATACTAGGAGCAATTAATTCCTGAGTAAATTAAGATTAGTTAATATAATACATTAAATTTTGGTTTCAGTACATAACACTAATGCAAAATGAAGACAGACTATACTTTGTGCTTTATAAAAATAAAGCAAAACAATGTGAATGTAGCGTAAATAAAGACACAAAAATTAACTATATTAATATTGTGTCTATTTTAGTGCCTTCATTCACTGTGTTTTACTTTATTCATATTGTCTAATGCTCATTATTCTCTCTGCTCAAAAAAAACTTTATATTGATTAAATTTATAAGATTAATGAATATAATTCATACAATGCTCAAACAAATTACAAACGGCTTAACTCTAGCAGTCTTTTAAGCATATAATAAGAAAAATAACTATTTCCAACACTTTTTTATAATGAAAAAAGAAAAATTCCCACAACCAAGAGGAAAAAAATAAAGAGTAATGATTCAAAATATCAGCTAAATGCTGTCATCATTTCTCAGGAGATTTAGAATCTCAGAATGTCATTATTTAGAATCGCACGAGATTCTAAATGATTAAATTTAAACAAATATAATTTAAACGAATATTATTGTTTCGATAATTAACATCAGATCAAGCATGTAAAAAATAAAATGAACTAAACCATATTCGATTCTAGAGCATCCTTTACACATTGTTTTTTACCCTCATCACATTTATATCCATTCTTACAGCAATGCAATCCATCAGGGCAACATGTTGCATTAGGATATTGACAACAACCATATTTATTATTTTTTAATTGACAACAGGTCATACTGTCCTGACACTGTGAGTGATCAGGACATATAATAAGCTCTGATTTTACAGACATGGCAGGCACATTTCGAACAGATGTCACATTATAAAATCCTCGGCTACAATGAGTGGATGTGGCATCACAGGTCATGCCCTCTGGGCAACAATGCAACTTGTCTGCACAGCATGTTGCATTTTCAAATGGGCAGCAGCCCCACTCAGCACCAGGCAATTTACAACAAGTGAAAAGGTCTGGACATTGGAAAGAAGATCCAGGGCATACAACATTAGACACTGAACTTGGCTCCATTTCAACGATCTGATCCATCTTCACATTGTGAGATCTATGAAGTTTCTTTTTGGAATCAAACATCAAATAAGTGAAACCATCTCTCTCACAACTCTGTTCTGCAACATTGCAGGTCATACCTTCTGGGCAACAATGCACCTTGTCTTCACAGCATGTTGCATTTTCGAATGGGCAGCAGCCCCACTCATCACCGGGCAATTTACAACAAGTGGAAACATCTGGACATTGGAAAGAAGATCCAGGGCATACAAAATTAGACTTTGAACTCGGCTCCATTTCAACAATCTGGTCCATCTCCACATTATGAGACCTATGAAGTTTCTTTTTGGAATCGTACATCAAAGAGGTGAAACCATCTCCATCACATTTCAGTTCTTTAAGATTACATGTTGTACCACTAGGGCAACAATGCTCCTTGTCTTCACAGCAAACAGCATCTTCCAAAGGACAGCAACCATATGAACCAGGCGCAGAGCCTTCACAGCAAGTTGTATCATCAGGACAAGTAAACTGGCCACCAGGACATGTTACATTCTTTGCTCTGATTGGGTTTGCAAGGAAACTTGTGACTCCTCTTGAAGTCTGCTGAATACACATCCCAGCTGAGCATTTGGTATTAGCAGGACAGCAATGTATATGATCATCACAACAAACAGCATTTAATAAAGGGCAACAGCCATAGCTTTTATCAAGCAATTGACAACAGGTAGCACCTAGAAAAATTATACAATGTTTAATCAACTGTGTAAATTTCTAAAATCAATCATATCTTTTCAAAGTATGTTTCCTATCAAAGAATAAATTATTTATGAGAAGGAAAACTCCAAAACTAATAAATGTGAAAGTAAAACATTTTAGCAACAGTTTTTTGTAGGCTGGAGGAGGGGTTGGAGGTTTAGTAATTTGTGACCAATCACTGATATCAAATTGCAGTCTTTCCCAATGAAAGCTCAGTGCTTTTGAGTCACTGCAGCTTTAATAAATGTTTACGACATTAAAAAAATTAATATGAGGAAAAAAAACTCTTAAATTACATTGAAATGTGATACGAAATAAATTTTCAAACAAAATTATAATTTTGATTAAACAATGATAAAAAATTATAAAATGGTGCTAAATTTTTTTCGATAATGATGTTTTTAAATTTAAACTTTTTTTATAATACTTATATTAAACAGTAGTATAGGCCATTTTAAGTAATTTTCATTTTATCCAGTTTCTTACAGAAAAATTTCCAAACATGAACACTGCAATTATCAATCGATAGATTCCTAAGCTTTAATTTATCAGCTTTTAAACTTTTTGAGCAGTTGGGTTATTTTTATATTATATTAATGCTTTTTGAAAATATTTATGCATTTTTTTACAACCCTTTTAAAATACAGACATAAAAAAAATGCTGGAATTACAAAATTGTATATGAATAAACACTATGAACATAAATTTGGGACTACAACATTAAGAAAAGTACAAAGTTTTTGATTTTAATGTGTTAATATGTGCCCCATTAATCACCCTGTCAGTTGTAAAGATGATATTCAATCACTTTCTGTGATTTGTGAAGCTCCTCTGAAAACACAGTTTTGAGGATTCTTGAGATGGTTGATATCAATAGAATAAATACAGACCAGTATCGGTTTGGTGGAGGTTACACAATCTCATTCAATTTATGAGTTAGGGAACCTCTTCTTTAATGCACACCACTTAATGCACAGGGAGAAGAAAAAAAGGTTCTTTTCTACAATAAAAACAACGAAGGCAATACTAGATAGGACTAGCAAGATAATCTACTGAAAAGATAAAACTTTTTCCTTCCATTTCACTTTAACAGAAGAGTGATTTCATTAAATTTAAAAAATAACTTCTAATGGAGTTACAAAATCCTGGCATTATTCCTTTATAACCCAGTAATAATTTGTACACTTATGAAAGGAAAGGTAATATTTTAAAGCTATTTATACATTTTGGAGGAAAAAAAAAACATGACTGAAAACTATAAGCAGTAATGATGCAACGAAAAATGCTTTGAATAAAAATCTGAATATTCAACTATACTGGAGACTCATGTTGATGCATATATTCTTTTTTAACATCAAATACTATACATTCATATCATCAATTAGTTATTATTTAACATGTTGAGCAATAATGTTATAGTACATATAATAACTAATTTTAAACATTTAATCAAAACGGAACAAAAATATTTAACCTTCATATGATAAAATATTTTACCCGAAGAAGTTTTGAAAGCTTGCTTTTAATAAAATCACAACTTATGAGTTCTGTTATCTATCATATTATAAATCAATATATAATATGATCATATATTATACATCAATAGTATTGTAATATATTTTAGTTTTTAAGGATGCATTAACATGAAAATAAATCATTCTACAAATGAAATAGGGGATAAGTCTCATGAAGCTTGCAAGGGAATGTAAATAGTGAAATCAAGTGAGAATAAATCTTTCAGAATTGAAGGCTGTTTTGCACAAGTGACTTGTCCAAAAGAGTACCATTATCTGGGTAAAAAGAGCAAGTAAGTTTCAATATGAAATATTGTTATTTAAATATCAATCTATGAAAAAAAGTATAACTGAATATATTAAAACTAAATACAATATAGCGTTATTAATGAAAACAAAACAAAACTGAATTTTAGAATTTATAGATGAAAATAAATTTAAAAAAGTATTTCTATAATCCAATTACTTTAACAAAGTAGTTCTGGCTCTAAACACTTAAAATAATCATGATCACATGGTTATTTGTAATGAGATTGTTTGTAGAGCTATATTATTAGACCTTTTTATTTATAGTTACAGAAAGTAGTACAGATTATATCTAGTGTAGAGAGAAATCAATGGAAAAACACTACGGAATTTTAAGCAGTTATTAAAAATAACAAATAACAAGTAATCTATACAAGTTACAAGCTTATTGCTTGATTATCTGGTATAGGGTGTTCAAAAAGGTTTTCTTTCATAATTTATTGTTGGTCTGCAAAACCTCTGAAAGCTTTAAATCTTATTGCTAAGTATGAAAAAGCACATGAACCTAACACCTTCAAGGTTACAAAGTAATCCTTTAAGTATTTCTTGAAAAAATTTTATAAATATCAGAAGCTGAAAATGACTTTTATTATTGTAAGGTAGTGTACATAATTGTTTTCGAAAGATTTTGGGATGAAATGGTAAAATTAAGTTTATAGTGATTATAAACTATTTATGGTTATTGAAATTGTAAGAATAGTTTCAAATTATTTATAATTATGAAATTGCTACTTAATTAGTTATCTGTGTTCATAAAATAATGCACTTTTTTCTAGTATAAAGTCTGTTACACTTTCGGATACATTGAAAATGTTACAAAAATTGCACCAATATTATTTTGACTAAAACATTTAGAACCAGAAAATTGTGACTGACTAGAAACAAATTGGTTTACTTTTTTGTTTCAAAATTTATTATTTACAGGATTCTATATATATATAACTATATAAAAAACTTGTGCACATGTTTATTGCCACATAACAGATGAAAAGATGTTTATATGAAAAAACGATCTTCCTAAAAAAAAAAAAAAAAAAAAAAAAAAAAAAAAAAAAAAAAAAAAAAAAAAAAAAAANAAAAAAAAAAAATATTTGCTGGCATCTAATTATATCACCACAATTTAATTTGATGTAATATGCAATAGATTATCTAAGAAAGCACGTTGAAAAGCAAAACCAAATAAAATACATAATAGAGCATAAGAAAGCATATTAGAAAGTAAGACCACATAAAATATACAATAGGTATAATAATATTGGTGCGCTTTTTCAAAAGAAAGCATATTAGAAAATGAGACCAAATAAATTTATTTGAATTGTATAACTTATTGCAGATGCAAAGTGATAATAACATAACTGCACATTTTTTAACTCTGAATTTGATAAATTGTCCCATAAAAGCTACAAGAACATAATGTTGCTGAATTTATTGCACCCAGCCATCCAAAAAGTACCCATAGGAGTAGAAATTGCAGTAAAATGGCTAAAAAATTGCATATAAAATTATAAACTTCCTAGAATTGAAATAAACTAAAAGGTTTAAAAATGAATGAGTAGAGAAAAAAAAAATAATCAAACTATTATAACAGCTACAAGGAAATAGAACAACTTTCTTAAGTAATGATGTTAGAATTATATAACAGACACATAAAAATCACAGTATAATTTACAATAAACACTGATATTTATAGCTTGAAAATTTTGTATAAAACAACAGAATAATACTTTAGATACATACTATCATCACATGAAAAAGTAGTACCAGGACATTGATGTTTATTCGAAGAAACTACAGCAACTAACAGCACAATAATCAAACACTTCATTTTCTGGAATTTTAAAACGATATCAATGATTATATGTTCATAAAAAACAAACTATAACACTCATCATATGCAACATATTATTAAAATCTTTAACAACGTATTTTATTTTTATTATATTTTCTCCATATTGAAATAATTTAATCAAAAAAAAATTTTAAATCATTTTGGCACAATTAATTAAAGCGCTTCTCACACATTACATCTTTTGTAGAATGTTTTTTCAAATGAAATTATATTTTGTAAATTTTCTAAATCACCTATTTCAATATTGAGAAAATTTTAGTCTTAAATTATTTTGAGACTTGTTAATGTTTGTATGAAAACACTAAAATTTTATAAAGGCAAAATGTGGTGATTTTTTTTTTTTTTTTTTTTTTTTTTTTTTTTTTTTTTTTTTNTTTTTTTTTTTTTTTTTTTTTTAATTCTCTGAAAAAGCACTTAATAATAAAGGGAGAAATAACCATTTAAACCAGTTTTGTCTTCATCCTTTTTTTTTTTTTTAAAAAGTATAGCAACATCATAAATATAAACAGATAATAGGAAATTAATGCAGAACAAAATAAACAAAAGAACAAATTTTATGAGCAATGATGAATTTACAATGAAAATAAAATATGATTAAATTATACTTGGTTACGAATGGAATAATTCGCCTATAAAAGATTCGCATGCATACCAGAATTAGAAAATAAATGCTTTCATTCAATAATCTTTTTAAAAATATGGATTTGATTTATCAACTAAAGCATCTAATCTGTTGTTTAAATTTTATTTCTGAAATCCTCGTGATCGATTGTTTAGCTTTACACCGATAACGATAATTAATAAATCGATAAAATATTTTGCTTTGAAAGCCGGCCAGACGAAAACACAAATGTTTTTGATTGGTTCATTTGTAATCGTTTTCATCGGTCGCATTGTCCTTTAATAGGCGTTATATCACCACAAGCGTCTTTAGTCGTAACGGTTTAAACACTTTTATGTTTGTGAAGAAGAACTAAAATTTTATAAAGACATTATTCGCTGATATTTTTCTTTAAAATTCTCTGAAAAAGCATTTAGCAATAAAGGGAAAATAACTATTTAAACCATATCCATATCATATTCAAAAAATAAAAAAAATGAACACGGAATCAATCGTTTGCACAGAGTGCGAAAAATCGCTTAGTTATATACTCTTATATACAATTAGTTATATACAATTCGCCGCAGGCACAACTTATCGTAGCGACAATCCGTCGCGAGCTCAATTTCCTGCGGTTTAGATGAAATATATCGTAGTTCAGTAGTTATAGCAATAAAAGGAGCTTTTTCTCAGAAAAATTAATATTGAAAGTATTTTTTTATTATTGTTTTTATGATTATTATTTATTCATTTATTTATTCCTTTATTTAGTTATTTAATCATTTATTTATTTATTCATTTATTTATTTATATTTTTGGTAGAAAGTTTTGTTATGTCATTATAAATAATATCTGAAAACTCCCGTACTTCCCTCTGTGTGCTTCTCCCTTTTTTGAGAGAAATGGGGGTGATTTGAGGGGGAGAATTCAATTTCTTGCAAACAGGTAAGTGATACATTGATTCCAATGAATTTTTTTACGCTAAATTGAATTAAATTATTTACGAGATGATAGACGAGAGACATTAGTATCTAGACAAGTGAAGCATTTTTTCCTATGTAGTGTTTTAAGTTGAATTAAATGAGACTATACAAGAGTCAATAGAATGAATAGTTTAAAAAATTAAAAGCGCTTTATGAAGGAAAAATACTTTTATCGACATGAACACTTTACTTTACTCTCTCTCTCTCTCTACAGATATATTTACTTTACAATTTAGAAGATAAAATATGTTAGATACATTTTCAGGTGTAATTTTTTATGCTAAGCTCAATGAGATAAAATTGAATAGGATAAAAACTTTGAAATTAAAAGGAATTTTTCATATACTATTCGAAAATTGTTTTTCTTTTTAATATATATATATATTTATATAAAAACTTTGAAACTTTTAAAACACTTGTCCTTTTGATTTGCATTTGGGAGATCTCCTGGGAACAGTGTCTTTACGATCAGTCCACTGCGAGAGACAAGTTAGAGAAGGGCATCACAAAGATATAACCAGGGTAACGGCAAGATTCGAACCTGCTACCTCTGCGCTAGAGAGCATTTAACAGAGCAGAGCATTATTCACTTCAACCACACTTGTTGATGTCGAATTCGCATTGAAAGCCTTATTATTAAGGGAGAAGCTGCATTCTGAAAATCATGCACCTAATATGATTTCGATTTGTTCATTTACATCGCCCTAGAGCTGCACAATGAGCTATTGGCGACGGTCTGGGAAACATCCCTGAGGATGATCCGAAGACACGCCATCACAATTTTGATCCTCCGCTGAGGGGATGACACCCCCACTTCGGTAGCCCGACGACCTGCACGCGAAGTCGAGCACTTTACGGTAGAACAGTTTAACGAGGACCAATACCGCACACCCTCGGTCCCTACGCAGACTGATCCAAGTGGTCACCCACCCTCACACTGATAGCAGCCAGTGATGATTGACTTCGGCACCTAATATGAAGTAGCGAAAATTGTTTAAAGTTGTATTTCTTATGTTAATCTTATTTTTTCCCCACCATACCATTAAAACTATTGTTATTGTACACCATATTAACATTGTTATTTATCCACGGTATAATCCACGATATAATCTATGAATTAATCCACGGTATAATCCAGGAATTAATCCACTGTATAATCCACGAATTAATCCACGTTATAATCCACGAATTAATCCACGTTATAATCCACGTTATAATCCGCGAATTAATCCGCGGTATAATCCACGAATTAATCCGCGGTATAATCCACGAATTAATCTGCGGTATAATCCACGAATTAATCCGCTAAAAACGCTGTTAAAAAATCTGTAAATTAAAAACTGAAACTATTTAATATTGTAACGAATTCATTGTTGAAATTTTAATAAAACATTTTATATACAAGACCAATTTTACAAATTTAAATGCAAAAACTGTATATTAAAAATTCAGATTGAATTAATTTGTGAAATCAGGCATTGAAATTTCTATAAATATTAGAAAGAAAATATCGCGGAGAAGGATAAAAATCTAAAAATTATTAGTCTACAGAAGTTATGTGGATTTTAAAAGTACCATAATTATAGCCGAGTATAATGTAATATTTTAAAATAGCATAGTGAATAAGGAATTATAAAATTAATATAAGGAATGTAACAATATTCACAATGAACAAACATAGAAATGTCATGCTTACTTTACTTTTCATACTTACTAAATCCAAATTTAAAACCTAGTAGCGACGTATGTTGTTTTGGAAATAAGTAAATTCTAATCCACGCCGGCTTTATAGTTTAAGCAGATTCAAATGAACCGTTCGTAAAATAATTTAAATTGATATCCTGTCATATGAAATCTGAAATTGTGCATCGCTGGTTTGTTTGGAATTCGGAGGCGTAGTGATTTCTCCTATTTCATGTACTTTTGTGATGAATTAGCAGAACAGCTTTACGAATGATTCAAAACGGTTAGCTGTTTGTTATATCTAAACATTTATTTATTTATAATTTCGAACGATCTTTCATCATATTTCGTTACTTCTAGCACATTTTAATTTATAATGTACCAAGGATTTCATTAAATTATATATTTCTATTTTATTGCTGTGGATAAATTTCTGTGATAAATATAAATGATAAATATATTATCGTTCTGTTTAGATGCAATTTTTCACTTCATGTTATTTTTTTTTCTACTTAAATTTGATATATTTATGTTAGGAATTTTAAGAAACCTTTTTTTTAATTTATTTTTTTACTACGATTATAAAAGATGTTGATTTTCGATTTTATAGAATTACTTCCATAAAATCGAAAGTTAATTTTGATGACTAATTACTGCGCAAAATGAATTTGAATTTTTTTTTTCTGAAACTTAATTTTTTCTGTGATTTGTCATGTATAGTTTAAAATTTTATGAGTACTAAGCTTCGAGCAAATAATTAAAGTAAAATAGAGTTAAAACAATTCAATAATCAGAGGAAAAATTTCCTTCTTAAAATGAAAACAAGGTGTCTATTTTTCTATTATTCAATACATTTTTGGTTAAGTGCAGTTCTCTGAAAAATTCACACTATTTAACAATTCTAAAATACTAGAAGTTTCGAAAATATTTTTTGTTTAATACTTTTTTTTTTTGCATACATACACTGTTATAAATCCTGAATTATGCATATTAGGGGCCTAACCTCATCTCGCTTAGCTTTTTATAGTATGTTTTCTGATACTCTTTTTAAAACGATCGAAATTTTAAAAACATGAAACATATGCATTCTTTGAAACCTTTGATTTGTATGCATTTCGATCCCATTACATTTTCGTTTGCAGTAAATATCTAATATGACCATACTTTTAATATATTAGCTGTCTACTTCTACAATACCTATAGTACCTTGAGGGGAGAGGAGTAGTTATCAACAATGCCAACCTTCATCTATGAAAAGGCACCTCACCATAGACTCGAGTTAACATGTCTTATATACTAGTGAATTGGAATTATATTTTTGTAGTGGTAGAAATACTACAGTACTCCCTCACCAGAATCTAATCAGTAGTAGATTCTATTCATTCAGTAATGTCATTCAACATTAATAGCACATAAGTGGAAGTTTACATGCACAATTGTAAATTTATGAGTTTGAAAATGTAATAGGAGTTAAACTAAATTTAAAAAAAAAAAAAATGAATTAAAGGATATAAGAGGTAAAAATGTAGTAAAAGAGTTGGCATTATAAAAATAGATAGGTTTGGCTGCATTTTGATAATTTTTTTTATAAGTTTATATCACGGCAGCCTTATTAAATAAAGTACAAAAGCCGTTTAGTTTAAACCTATGAAATTTTCAAAAGTTTGCCTCAAAGTTTCTTTTTAAAGCTAATGCGGTTTTTTTCAAATCATGTCATTAAAATTACGATTCAAATCGCTGTTTTTAGTCATTTGATTTGAAATTTTGATACTTTTTTTGAAATTCTTTCGAAAATTATTATTTTTTTTTTACAAAAAATTCTCTCATAGAAAATCTCAAACAATTTTGATAAAAAATTAAATCTTTGAAATCAAAATTATAATAAAAGGTGTGCACTGATCACCAATTTTTTGAAATTATTAATTCATTCTAAAAACGAGTGACATTTTAACATTTTACATACGACTACTGGGTTAAATATTTAAGTGTAGGCTATTATCACTTGAGTTTTTAAAACACCCAAAGATAAGGCTAGTTCAATCCTTCATTTGTCAGCACTTTGATGAACGCCGGTGAATTTAAAATCTCCTGGGAGGGAATTCTTCTTCTGTCTTTTCACTCCATCCTTTGGAACTTGTTGAAACATAAAATAATTCTCCAGATGGCTTATTCGATGATTTCTTGAATGATCCAGATACTGCGATGAACTTTAGAATGGATATTTATTGTTACATAATAACTTCTTCCACAGTTGTACATCGACTTTATCAGAACGATATTCCTTTTTCGTTGATTTGATGACCCACTTGTATATTTTTCAATTTTTTTCTTTTTGGGAAGGAGCTATAAAAATATTCGAGCTTTTCATCTTCTTTAAAAGAATAGTGACGTATCAAAAGTTTCTTTCCTTAATTTTTCTTTTTCGGTCTGCAGCCATTATTCCCAAACAGATTACTTCTCAAATGCCTGCTTATAATAATATGCCTTTAAATGCTAGATAGTTGAAGAGACTTAGGCTA